TGATATCTGTCTTTCGTTCTTTCTTTATCCGAAGCGAAGTAAGATATAGGGTAAGATATAGGATAAAAAAAACAAAAATAGGTAGGAAAGCTATAATTGGAAACTACGATGTAATTTATGGAAGCATTGGTTTATACATTCCTCTTAGTCTCGACTCTAGGAATAATATTTTTCGCTATCTTTTTTCGAGAACCCCCTAAAGTACCAATGAAAAAGATCAAATAATTTTTCGCTATAGTAACTTGAAGTAATAAGCCCTCCACCGTGGGGAGGCTTATTACTTCAACTAATCTCCATGTTCTTCAAATGGATCTCTTAGCTGTTGAGAAGGTTGTCCAAAAGCGGTATAGAAGGCATACCCAGTAAAACTAAAAAGTAAACCGGATATAAATATCGTCACTAGGATTGCTGTTTCCATTTTTTTATTAGTATATAATTAAAATACTCCAAAGGATCTATGCTAAGATCATTTCTTTATAACGCAATGGTATACAAAGTTAACAGATCTCTCAATAAATAAAATTGAATAAAAGAGGATTTATGGCTACAAAAACTAGTGAGAAAGGTTCTCAATATCGTCCAAGACAAACTACTATCGGTAATTTATTAAAACCATTGAATTCAGAATACGGTAAAGTAGCTCCGGGGTGGGGAACAACACCTTTAATGGGTTTGGCAATGGGTTTATTCGCGATATTTCTATCTATTATTTTAGAGATTTATAATTCTTCCGTTTTATTGGATGGAATTTCAATGAATTGAAACCTAGTCCCACTTTTTTTATTCAAAGCGGCGCCCTTTTAACTAAGATTTAGAATGCATTCTATTTTATGTAATTGTGGTAGTTCGATCGTGTTATTTATTTATTTCTATCATTTCCGGAATATGAGTGTGTGACTTGTTATAAAGGATCCTATTCATAGTCCATAAAATTTGGTTATCTTACTTACCAGAGATTATTTGATTCGTCAGATATGGATTCGAGTATCTGAAACACGAGATCTATTTGAACTATGATTCAGACTTCCTATTAAGACCTCGTGCCCGGGTTCCAAAAAAATTTTGAAACCAAGAAGGTTTGATTATTTAAAACCTTCTGGATGACCAAAATAAAAATTCCATCTATTTAGTATGGTTAAAGTTAATTTAAAAAGGTTCTTACTCAGGGAATCCTTGATTACGTTTCAATTTTTTTAATCGTGGTTCTAAATAGGAATCTTAGGTTTTTTTCGATTTATAGGGTCTTAACAAGGTAATTCCTATCCAATCAAATAAACAAAACAAATAAAAAAAGAATCATTCCATAAAAAAAAAGATAGGTAAAGAGAAGCTTCAAAAAGCCCGTCAAAATAAAAATAAAGACAACTGAGCTAACTTGATATGTTTGTATTAGTGCCAAAAAAATCAATAAGAAATAATAGATTTCGCATTTTATTGAATATAATCTATGTGTTGGTCTGGCCGGCGCAATGAGTATTTGGACATTTTTGGTTGAGCTGTACGAGATGAAAGTCTCATATACGGTTCTCAGGGGGGGGAAATTACCCTATCTCAATAAAGTCTATGATTGGTTCGAAGAACGTCTGGAGATTCAGGCGATTGCAGATGATATAACTAGTAAATATGTTCCTCCACATGTCAATATTTTTTATTGTTTAGGGGGAATTACGCTTACGTGTTTTTTAGTACAAGTAGCTACCGGGTTTGCTATGACTTTTTACTATCGTCCGACCCTTACAGAGGCGTTTGCTTCTGTTCAATACATAATGACTGAAGCGAACTTTGGTTGGTTAATCCGATCGGTTCATCGATGGTCAGCAAGTATGATGGTATTGATGATGATTCTGCATGTATTTCGTGTGTATCTGACAGGTGGGTTTAAAAAACCTCGTGAATTGACTTGGGTTACAGGTGTAATTTTAGCTGTATTGACAACATCTTTTGGCGTAACCGGTTATTCGTTACCTCGGGACCAAATAGGTTATTGGGCAGTGAAAATTGTAACAGGTGTACCCGAAGCTATTCCTGTAATAGGATCACCTTTGGTAGAATTTTTACGAGGAAGCGCTAGTGTGGGGCAATCCACCTTGACTCGTTTTTATAGTTTACACACTTTTGTCTTGCCTCTTATTACTGCCGTATTTATGTTAATGCACTTTTCAATGATACGTAAACAGGGTATTTCTGGTCCTTTATAAATCAAAATAGAAATAAAAAGAGATCCTAAATAAAAAAAATTTGTAAGATATGTTATTTCTCACTTGGAGGAGGGGTAATAGTATTTCATTGCTAAAAAAAATCCATTCTTTAAAAGAATAAGAAATGGTTTTTTATATTTATCTTCACCCTTCCTATATTCTTTTTTTTTTACATGAATACACAAATAGGCGAGGGGAATTCTTTGAAGTTGAAGATCAATTTTACGATAAAATGGATTATGGGAGTGTGCGACCTGAACTATTGATTGGTCCATGTAGATATAAGCCTACCACATTTGAATTATCACCACCCAAATGTGTCTTTGTTCCAATTGGCGCATAAGCCTTATGTGAGGGATAAGCTGGTTCCCTTGAAGATAATTTATTCTATGATCATATAAAAATCATGTTATACATGATTAGGCTCCGTAAAATCCAATATTGAATATAAAAAGATCCTAGAAACTTTTTATTTTTATTTAACATTTTAAACGCTAATATAGAATCTGTAAATGGAGTCATTTCCTCTCCATTGGTCCGATCTCGATAATACTATCGGAGTGAAACAAGAGATCTAACGAAGAAAAGAAACTGGACTTTTTTTTTAGTAACAAGTAAACCTTTCTGCGTATCTTAAAATATGAAAACTTTTTGAAAATAGTTTCAGATAAATACGCATTCTAAGGTTGGAGACGACCCAAAAAGCACTTGATCCTATCAGAAAATTAAGCCTACTTGGGTCTTGAGTATTGACGCGTAAGCAAATAAGAAAAGAAATTTAATTTTTTGACTAGAGAAGGTTCACTTGATAAAAACAAATTTTTTCTTTTACATTGAACTATTTCTATATCATAGATTATCTTTTGTGTATAAATGAATATAAAGACTCTTAACGACTCTAAGATAACCTATAAACTACCTAGCTTTAGAAATGTATTTGTTCATTCATATAATGATTAATTCTTTTTTAATTATTTGTTTGAGTCTTGCTCGAGCTGGATGATTAAAAATGATCATGTCCGGTTCCCTCGGGGGATGGATCTCTAAGACTTCACCTATCCCAATAATAAAAAAACCTGACTTGAATGATCCTGTATTAAGAGCTAAATTGGCAAAAGGTATGGGTCATAATTATTACGGGGAACCCGCATGGCCCAATGATCTTTTATATATTTTTCCAGTAGTTATTCTTGGTACTATTGCATGTAATGTAGGTTTAGCAGTTCTAGAACCCTCAATGATTGGTGAACCCGCAAATCCCTTTGCAACCCCGTTAGAAATATTACCTGAATGGTATTTCTTTCCTGTATTTCAAATACTTCGTACAGTGCCTAATAAAATATTAGGTGTTCTTTTAATGCTTTCAGTACCTACGGGATTATTAACAGTACCTTTTTTAGAGAATGTTAATAAATTCCAAAACCCATTTCGTCGTCCAGTAGCAACCACTGTGTTTTTTATTGGTACCGGAGTTACCTTTTGGTTGGGCATTGGTGCAACATTACCTATTGAAAAATCCCTCACTTTAGGTCTTTTTTAAATTTGTTTTGTGGAGTTTTGATTCAATTTAAAAAAAAACCAAAGCTTGTGTATCTAGGGAAGCGTTTCTTGAAAGTTCTTCCTAGATACACGTCAATTCATATTCATGAATGTTTCAATTTATTTTTTTTATTAATTAAACCTAAGTTTATAATCAATACAGTGCAAAATATTTTCCTAGAATCCCCAATATATGTTTTATATCTTCTAGTTGAAAATGTTCTATTTTTAAAAGATCTTCTTGTTTTTGATTAAAAAGATCAAATAATGTAAATATATTTGACTTTTTCAAGCAATTATATATCTTGGGAGGGAATTCTAATTGGTCAATAAAAATTAATTTCAATGAAAGTTTCTTTTTTTTTTTTTATAAGTGTAGTCACTTTATTATAAAAGATAAGGGGGGGTAGGGGAATTGTGTGTTTTGCATCTGCTAAATATAAGTTTTCTTCTTCCATCTGGAAAAAAGGAATAAAGAAATCAATCAATATTCGGGCGGATTCATGAAGTGCTTCTTTTGGTGTTAAACTTCCATTTGTCCATATTTCCAAAAAAAGTATCTCTTGTTTTTCATTCCCATAAGAATGAATACTATGATTTGCATTTTGAACCGGCATGAAGAGAGCATCTATAGGATAACTTCCATCGTCAAAGTGAAGGTCCACTTTGTTGAAATATCCGCGATTTCTCTCTATTTTTAATCCAATAAAAAAATCAATAGGTTCCGTCAACCAAGCTATATGTTGTGTGTTATCAACAATTTGTACATGGGGGGGTAATATTATATCTTGGGCAGTTACATGTCGAGGTCCCTTGATACAAATAGACGCATCACAACTTTCATATAGATTGCTCCTCAATACAATTTCTTTCAAATTCATTAAAATCTCATGTACCGATTCTTGAATCCCCCCTATGGTAGAATACTCATGCGAGGCTTTCTCAGATTTTACACGTGTGATACATGTCCCTTCTATTTCTCCCAGCAAAGCTCTTCGCATCGCAATTCCTATTGTATCGGCTTGACCTTTTATAAGTGGAGATAGAATAAAGCGGCCATAAAAAAGGCGTTTACTGTCTATTCTTGATTCAACACATTTCCACTGTAGTGTCCGAGTAGATACTGCTACTTTCTCTCGAACCATAAAAATTTTGATTTAGTATATTAGTGAATCTTCTATTTCTCTTGATATAGGTTCACTTTTGATTTCTACACACGTCGTTTTTTGGGGGGTCTACAGCCATTGTGTGGCATAGGGGTTACATCCCTTATAAAAGTTAATAATATACCGCTTCTATGAATAGCTCGTAATACTGCATCTCTTCCGAGACCGGGACCTTTTATAAATACTTCGGCTCGTAGCATACCTCGATTCACTACTTTACGAAGAGCATTTATTACCGCGGTTTGAGCAGCGAAAGGTGTTCCTCTTCTGGTTCCTTTGAATCCAGAAGTACCGGCAGAGGACCAAGAAACTACCCGTCCCTGTACATCTGTAACAGTCACTATGGTATTATGGAAACTGGCTTGAACATGAATTACTCCTTTTGGTATTCTACGTGCATTCTGACGTGAACCAATACGTCCCCCCTTCCTACGCGAACTAATTCTCGATATATATTTTACCATTAAGCATTTTGTAAATCTGAGTCAGCGATATACTATATGGATATATCCATTTCACGATTCTTTCATTTCTATAATTGGTTTAGTTACTAAGTTAAGTTGCGAAGTCTTATTATCCCTGTCGTTGTTTATGTCTGGGATTGGAACAAATTACTATAAGTCGTCCCCTTCTCCGTATTAATCGACATCTGTCACAAATTTTACGAACAGAAGCTCTTATTTTCATATTCAGACTCCTTACATTTCTTTTAAATTTACTTTAGAGTTTCGGTTTGATTGGAAGATTATAATAAAAACATTCATTTTTTTTTTTATTTTCAATTTCTAATTTTGTTATTTTTGCCAAAGAGATAGCTAAGTTTAAAAATGACTCCTTTGAATCATTGTTGTGTTGCAAAAGCTTCATCGACTTGTTCTGAAGTTATCCGTCTAAACTAAAAATGAATTTAGCCTATTTTCACAAAAAGAACTTATAATCCAATCTTTATTACTTTATTAGTTGATTATCTAAATCAATAAAAAAGAAAACCAGAACATACTATTTGAAAAGGATTCCTTAATAAAAAAATTCTTGAAAAAAGGAAAGTGATTTTTGTTCTTTCATCCGAAGGACTTTATTCTTTATTTCAGTGACCTAGAAGCAATAAGGAATGGGGATTTCATTAGATTCTAAAATATCCCATTTGGGAATCATAGAAATGGAAAGTTTCTACCTAATTGGCATCTTGAAAATATTACCATATATAAAACAAAATCTCCCCCCCGATTCTTTGCAGTCGGGCTTCTCGGTCTGTCATTATACCACGTGAAGTAGAAAGAATTACAACCCCCATCCCGCCTAAAATTTTAGGTATTTTTTTAGACTTAGAATACATTCGTAGACCGGGTCGACTTATCCGTTTTAAATTTAGAATATTGCTAAAGGTCCTTTTTTTAGTGTTTATATGTTGCAGAGTTAAAACTAAAAAATTTTTGTTGTTTTCTCGATGATTTCTCACACTTTCAATAAAACCTTCTTTTAAAAGGAGTTTTACAATCTTTTCGTTAATATTACTGGATGGGATTCGAACTGTTCTTTTTCCATCCCTATGAGTATTCCGTATAGAAGTTATTATCTCAGCAATAGTGTCCCTACCCATGATGAACTCTAATTATGGAGCTAAAAATTTTTCTACTCTCAACGTGTTTTTTTTATTGTCTATGGATTATTGTGTTTATCTTACTTTATTTTAATCTTAAAGTTATATACGTGAGACAGATTCTACTCCATTTTTTAATTTTTTTTATAATACCTCAGGAGCTAATGAAACGATTTTAGTAAAATTTAATTGTCTTAACTCCCGGGGGATTGGACCAAAAATTCTGGTCCCTTTTGGATTTCCTTCTTTATCAATAACAACTGCGGCATTATCATCATATCGTATTATTATCCCGTTGCCACGTTTTAGTTCTTTAGAGGTACGCACGATTACGGCTCTAACTACTTCAGATCTTTGTAGAGGCATGTTAGGTACAGCTTCTTTGATAACAGCAACAATAATGTCACCAATATAAGCATATCGACGATTGCTAGCTCCTATTATTCGAATACACATCAATTTTCGAGCCCCGCTGTTATCCGCTACATTTAAAAGGGTTTGGGATTGAATCATAGCATTTTTTTTATTCTTTTCTTTCACAATGCAAAGGGCGAAGAAAAAAAGAAATATTTTTTGTCCACAAACATAAAACGAAACCTCTTTTTTTTTTTGTTTTTGTTTCATTCTTAAGATTCTTTGGGTTGGTTCTAGAGTTATATCGTCTATTCTATCTCCGAAATAATGAATTGAGTTTGTATCGGCATTTTTGATGCTGCTATTGAAATAGCTTTTCTGGCAATATTTTTTGTTACTCCACCCATTTCAAAAAGTATCCGACCGGGTTTAACAACAGCAACCCAATATTCAGGGGATCCTTTTCCTGAACCCATACGTGTTTCTGCGGGTCGTACAGTAACTGGTTTATCGGGAAATATACGTACCCATATTTTTCCTCCACGACGTGCATTTCGTGTCATAGCCCGTCGCCCAGCTTCTATTTGTCTAGATGTGATCCAAGCGGGTTCAAGTGCTTGAAGCGCATATTTACCGAAACAAATATGATTCCCTCGAGAAGCTATTCCCTTCATTCTTCCTCTATGTTGTTTACGGAATCTGGTTCTTTTGGGGTTATAGTTGATGGATTTTTATTTATTCCATCTCTACTACAGAACCGGATGTGAGAGTTTCTTCTCATCCAGCTCCTCGCGAATTACGAATAAAGTATTTACAAAATGAGCGTTTGACTCAAATTGACTAATCATAGTGAAGATATCTAAATCTAAAGATAGATAATAAAAGTCTGGACTGAGAAGTCAAAATAATATTTAGGGATTGAGTGATCTTTTTTTAAATCTATTTGAATTGAAATGAATTATTCTACAGTTTTTTCATGATTCTCTGAGTCTAACTAATCCTTCATTTTTGACTATTCTTTATATTGCTTTAGATTGAAATTGATTCTTTTGAAAAAAGTTTTCGCGGGCGAATATTGACTCTGTCAATTTAGATTTCATTTCTAGGACGAGTTTGTGACATCTTATAGCTAGTATCTAGAAATAAAATAATTTAACATTGGTTTATTCCGCCCATCCCAGCCAGTGAATGTTTAAGATTTTTTTTTATTTCATCTTGAATTGAATTGAATCTTTTGTATTCTCATAAGTTCCGTCGTCCCCATCACTTCTTACTTAATGGTTAGGTCCTAATTTTACAATGGAGCTCAAATAGTAATAATATATGAATAATTTAAGTCTTTAGCCATTTTTCTTAGTCTTTATTGGCTTTAAGCTCTTGACTTTATTTTTTTATTTTATCTCTTCTATATTTAATATCTAATTGAATATTTATATATAGATTATAGATTTCTATAATAAGAGTATATTGTTTTTTATTATTGAATATTCTTAGATTTCTTATTCTATTTTAAATACTTTAATATGCAGAATTTAAGTATTAATGCTTCATTACATTGCCTGTTTTGTTAGACCCTACATATTGGAATTTTCAATCATTGAGCTTCTTTTTCTCCCTTTCTCTCTCCCTTCCAATTATCCACATCTTTTTTATATTTTGCTTCGCAACTTCAATAATATTTGAATACTATTTTTCGTTTATGCAAATAAATGGCAGTTGCTACAACGATATGAGCGGTAATCATATCGTGACTGGTTATTTAGATCCAGATAATGCGAAATTGATGAGTTAATTATTAGGTAATTTCTTCTCGAGTTAGTAGTTGTTACTTTGGGTTTGGTTTCATGCTAACCTTAAAAAATAAACGAGTCGCACACTAAGCATAGCAATGATATTTTTATTAAAAATAAATAAAATTTTTATTCAACCTTATAGAATTCATTATTATCAATTAGAACTGTTCCTGCTCATTACACAAAATAATTTGTGAAATGGCCGCTCGGTATTACAGGTAAAAAGAATGAATAAAATTTTATTGAGCTTGATCAAAAAATATCCAAATTTTTATGCCTAAAACCCCGTAGATAGTTCGAACTGAATAACAACAATAATCAATTTTAGCTTGAATAGTTTGGCGGGGAATTCTTCCTTCTCTTATCCATTCCACACGTGCAATTTCCTTTCCGTCAAGGCGTCCCGCAATTTGTACTTGAATTCCTTTTGTATCTGCTTGTTCAGCTAATTCAATAGCTTTTTTCATTGCTTTTCGAAAGGAAACTCTATTCTTTAATTGTCCAGCTATAAATTCGGCAAGAATATTAGGATTTCCATACGGTTTTTCAATTTTTGTGATAGCAATATTAAGTTTTCGGTTTACGAAATTTAA